CCCCAGGTAAGGGGAACTTGCCGACCCCTGGTCCACAGTATCTGTAGAACTCTCTTTCTGTAGCACATTTCAATTGAGTATTCTTCTGTCAGCTTTTCACTGTCCAGCTTTCATAACCATACATAGACATTAGAAATACTGTTCAATGAATGATTCTGATTTTAGTATTTAATGATATAACTTTGCACTTGAGGACCTTGTCTAGTTCCCTTCATAGCTGTCCTCCCAAGTCTTAGTCATCTTCTGATTTCTTGATTACAGTGTCCATTTTGGTTTATGACAAAGCCAAGATATAGAAACTGTTAACTATTTCATCCTCATCATTGAGGCAACTGAAGGGCAAAGCAGACTGGCACAAAGAGCTGGCTTCCTGGTGGCGTGGTGTCCAGACAGCAGCACGCCCCCAGTCTGCAGGGAAGCTGCACAGCTGACTGCATGTGCGGCGGACCCAGGTGTTTCTGTGGTGCAGTGTTTGCACATGCTGCACCAAAGACACACAACCCCCACCACCACTGCAGCGGCAAAGACGCCCTTTTCCCAGCACAAAAGGGAGTGGCTTTCTGCCACACCTTTTTGCACCGTGAAAAGGCTGGGTTGGGGACATGGTGTGCAGTTGCCATGGCCCCAACCTGTTGAGCAAGGGGATGGCACAGAGCTGCTCCTTATGAGCCATCTGTTTCCCTCCCTAAGATATAAAAATTAGTGCATTAGATGCAGCTAGAGATAAAAAGAATATTCAAATTCTCCCAAATACATAACAAGAGTAGCAGGTGGGTTCTACAATGGTCAGTAACCTTCTGTATCCCATTAGTCATATGTCAGTAAAGGTACAAGGACCAACCTTTATACTTGCAAAATGCCAGTCAGACTGGAGAATAATTAATAAATAATAATAATAATAATAATAATAATAATAATAATAATAATAATAATAATAATAATAATAATAATAATAATAATAATAATAATAATAATAATTTTATTTCTAGACCGCCCCTCTGCTAGGCAACTGGGGCGGGGTACAACATATTAAAGCAGGCAACAGTTAAAAACATTTCCTCAACACTCTCCCCAACCCACCCCCCTTAAAACTGAATTAAACAAGCAAAGATTAAAATACAATAGTACAATAAAATATAAAAATATAATAAAAACAGGAAGCAGCAACAATACAAGGGAGAGGGGTGGCAGTCGCTCCGATTGGGCCGGGAAGTTATTCTGGGAAGGCCTGTCGGAAGAGATCCGTCTTTACTGCTTTCTTAAAGGCAGCAAGAGTGGTAATAAGACGGATCTCGTCTGGCTGGCCGTTCCATAGCCTGGGAGCGGTCGCAGAAAAGGTCCTCTGGGAGGTCTGCGCCAGCCTGGTCTTCATAGGCTGCAGCAGATGAAGCCTACCCTTAGGTAGGCTATGATCCTTTATATACTTTTCTTGGAGCAAGTTCCAGGTCCTAACAATCTCAGTGGGTCTTGCTTCTGAATAGGCATATATAGACATTGTACTGTTAATGTACTTTTTTAATGTACTTTTTAAAATTTTAAAATGCCTTTCATTCCTTGTTTACATAAACAAGGAAGAACCTTGTTCTTTGTAGGAAGAATCCAACTTTAATATTTCTGAATATTTAAGGTACACCTACAGTCACTGCAGACAACATGCTTCAATTTTGTTTAACATTCTTCAACTTTAACCCTGTTCTTGGCCTCCCTCTTCTCTAAGAATTAATGGGGGGGGGGGGAATATAACAAAGGCCACTTACTCCAGTATTGATTACATTTACCTACAGAACATTTGAGGTAGTCCATAATTTATTTGTAAATTGTACTGGAGAAACCTTTTCTTGGAACATCTAATTTTATAATGATCTCAAACAACTTATAAATGAGCCCACAACAGCTGAGTACTGAAAACTTACATATCCATAGTGGCCTTTCTCTGCACAGTTGTAGCAGTATACTGAAAGAGAATGATCAGAAGAAGAATTTGCCCTCTTGAGTGGTCCTGGTTTTGTCTGTAACAGAAAAAGTGGTAGTAATTAAGCCTAGTTAAGATTCAAATATAATTATTTACAATTCAAATAACCTAGCCACTTTATCACAATGCAGTCAACAACAGTACATTAGTTGTCACACAATTTAAAGATTTTTTTTCCAGCATAGTAGAAACGTTTATTCTAAAGAAAAAAAAAGTTTACTTCCAAATAAACAAACATTGGGATTAAGCGGCATACACTGTAGCCCTAGGCATAAAGAGAAAGAAAGATTCATTTTAGTCAAATAAAATGTGTGTAACCTTAGAATTGAACATAATAAAAACAGCCACAAAACCAGATGAACCATTACAGTCTATACTGCAACTTTCTTGAAAAATGTCCTGTATAAGAGCTTTATTTCTCTCAGTCCTTCACACTCCTATTCTCCTCCAAGGAGTAGTTGTTCTAATGGCTGCCTACTGTTTCAATATAAATGATTGGTTTACTTTTGCCTTAAAAAAAAAAAACCACAAAAACTTTCCAATAGGGATGAAAGATATGGCATTTTTTGTTGTGGCACCATCATTATTATGAAAGTTTAATATGGGATCCGCATTTGACTCCCTCCCTACTTAAAACAGGCTTTAATAACCATTTGCTTTTAAGTGAATTTAGGCCCATCTTTTAAAATGCAATTTTTATTGTTGCAGCTGTTTTAAATGTTTTATGTTGTTTTAATTAAATATGTGTTATTGTTTTATTTTTTTACTCTGTGAAGAGCCTTCAGGAGGCTTGCTTTGAAATATGGTACAGAAATACTTGAATTATATGAAACTTGCTATACATAAAAACCAGATAATTGATAATTACATTAAATTTCCTTAAATTATACCAAAAATTATGAAATTCATGATTGGAAAGGTAGCATCTAAAACTATTTTTATGTCAATTTTTAATGTATTGTATTTGTAAATCTATTTGTTTTTTATTCTTTTTGTTGTTTATATGATATGAATGTATTGTTATTTGACTGTATGAAACATACTTACTGATAATAAAGTATAATAAACATAATTACTAATAAAAACTTCTAATTAATAATAAAAATAAAATTGATATTTGAGTTTAAACTATGACTCTTATTTATTTATTTATTTATTTTTACAAAAACATCATTAAAAGGTGTTCTATTCTGCAAGCCACAACAACAGCTATCTCTGATAATTCTGCTTATTTCAGTAAATGTAACAATGGCATCTGAAAATCAATTCTAACAGATAATATCTCGCTCTACAAGGAGTAGAAAGTATGGCCAAAAAAATGAAGAAGTAGAAAATATGGCAATTTTTTTTAAAATAAGGACATAATTATACATCAGCACTTGGAAGTAGAAACAGATAAACTCTGCTTTTCTGTTCTACAAATCTCACAAAAATCCTTGAGGAGTTTTGAATGCAAGAAAAATATGTTCATGTGACATCAAAACATGTCTGCAAGGCACTTCCTTTTGTTTATGTAATTGAAAAGGTCAGATTTAAAGAGACAAATTAAATTGAATACTTGCTATTCAGATTAACTATGCATATCCCCCTACAGCTGTCCAAAAGGCAGAAGAAAAAAACCCAATATGATGTCAAGCTCACTATATTCTCATTATTTCAGGTTTAAAAAGGCATTTAAGGTCTCTGATCCAATGGGTACAAAATGAAGCATTCATGATAGTAGCTGCTCTGTGTTATAGGTTTTTTTTGTAACAAACATTTAAATAATCTATATTTTGTAGGGTGATATCTTGAAGATTACTTCACTATCAATATATAGAAGTAATAACCCAGTAGATAGCATTACCTATGAAAGGTCCATCCCATCTGCTATTCTTGCTGAAAGCTTTTCATGCACCAGTAAACTCAGTAAATATCAGAAGATAAAGCATAAGCCTACCACGCCATGGATTTACTCCTAATGTCTCCTCAAAGTGCAGCCCCGATGCAACGATTACAAATGATTTTCTTCTAATGTCATTTTACATAACCCTTTTTTCTGCATGAGTAGTTGGTGCGGAATGAGTGAATGAATGAATGAATGCCATTAAAACAGTTAATCATTATCTGGGACACTGGCCTTCCTCCCTTCTCTGCAAGGAATCTCCATGACAAAGGCCAAGAGATCAAAATGCCAGGGCTGCTTCCATGGCCTATCTCTGACAGTAATTTTTTATGCAAATGGGACTGTTGGGCAGCTTCCTCTGTGACCTTGAGATGCCCTTATCTTAAACTGACTTTGATCCAATGAGGTCTGGCTTTTATGAAGCTCATTACTTCTTCAGATATGCATCAGACTTAAATTTCACTAATTAAAAGGAACTGCCTATTCACATTTTTTCTGTTCTATCTTCCAAGTACACACATACACAAGAAAGAACTAGTATGACATGAAATGAACACTACTCCCTCCCCAATTTGAATTGAGAGAAATTTGCTCACGAATGTTTGATTTATTTATTATACTTAACATCCTGCTATTACATGATGCAAGCAATCACCTGTCTACATTTCTGATCAAATCCATCCATGCTCACCTAACTTTAACCACTTTTTTAAAAAAAGGTAACAATAGAAATAATTATCCTACATTGACCATGTAATACAATATTCTGCCCAGGATTCAAAGAGATCCTGATGACAGATCCAATGTTTCTGAAACATGATGGAACACTAGAAATGTCCCTTTTTGACTCGTCGTCTCTTCTGTCAGATTGGGGAAAAAAAGTTTAACATTCTACTAATGTTGGTAAAAGGCGAATGAACTGCAAAGCTTATGATGATAACCATTTGGTTCTCTGGATTGTGGCCATATATGTTACCAAAAATATACATTTAGTGTTCAGTATATAGATAAATGAGAGCCAGCATAGTGTAGTGGTTTGAACATTGGACTGTAACTGTGGAGACTAGGGTTTGATTCCCTGCTCAGCCATGGAAACCCACTTGGGCAAGTCACACACTCTCAGCTCTGGAAAAATCCGTGACAGGGTTACCATAAATTGGACATGGCTTGAAGGCACACAACAACAAAAATATGGATAAATATATTCTGAATATGTGTAGAAAGTATTTCTACTTTTATTAATTAAACTGCTAATTCATAGAAATACTTCTCAATAACCTTATCCTACATACATCTAGAAGAAGAAAGTTCCATCAAAAACAAAATTCTGACATGATCCAATGTGATACAGAAAACAAATCCCTAATGAAATGGTTTTGACAGCAGAATAAAACATGAAAAGTTGCAATTGCTTACTAATACTCCAAGATCTGCTAAATCTGAGGTTACTGTCTTGTGACATTAATCAGTTTATATCGGCTATCACTGTGCTTGAATGTTAAGGCTCCTTTATGTCTAGACCAGAACATATTACTATAGCTGAAATTCTTGACACAAACTCAGGCTTTTGTCTCCATCAGAATTTTCATTTTGTCAGAGCTTGTTTTAGACAAGAAATGGGCATCTGAACTCTACTGTCTTTACAGGAAAAATCCTGAAATCTGTGAAGTGTGCAAGACATAGGAAACTATACCTGTTTTTAGAGGAATACATTTGCCCAATTCAATTATCCTCTTCTGTGTGGACAGAAATCTGACAAGTGGGACACAGTGACAGCTCCTCACATGCAGAGCTTATCAGACATGCCTTTTCTACCTGGCCTTCTCTTTCTTGCCCAGTTCAACTGGCCTTGTTTCAAAGGTGAGGATTGTGGGTTAATATTTTCACCACTCCAGATTGTATTTTTTACCACTGTGCAAATTGATTGGCATTTCAGCTAAGGGAAAAGAAAAGAAGGACCATAGAGGGTAAAGCAGTTTGCTTCAGGTTGAAACCTGTACTGCCAGAAGCAGTGCCAGGATTTCTGTCAGAGAGGAAGTAGAGTTGCAATTTCCAAACTCATATACTGGACTAAACTTTGAAATATAATGACTAACAAGCTAAAACGAAGTCCCTCAAACCCTTTGGGCGTATGTTGACACCTGTCATTGCCCTTAAAAACAGGCTGTGTCTGCAACCACCAAATGACTCTGATGTGGGGAGAAGCTATTACAAAATATTATAATCCCACAACTGAAATGGGTGGGCAGGGTTGAGAGAAGGAAAAACAGAGACAGAGGGAAGAAACAAGAAGTTTATTATGACTGGGCAGAGAGAGAGAGAGAGAGAGAAGAAAGACATATATACAGACAGAATGAGGTGGGGAGATTTAGGAAAATCAGAGAGGAAGCAAAACTAGTGAGAAGAAGATATAAAGAAATAAAAGGGAGAAACACACAGTGAGATTGTATTATGTCTCTCTATTTTAAGCTTTCCTTCCGCTTGGAACGGGATGCAGTGGCTTAGTGGTTAAGATGCTAATTCCAACGATTGGAAGATCAGAGAGTTGGCAGGTTGAGTCCCAGATGCTGCACGATGGGGTGAGCTCCTGTCACTAGTCCCAGCTTCTGCCAACTTAGCAATTCAAAAGCATGCAAATGCAAGTAGATAAATAGGTACCATTTCTCAGTGTGAAGATAACAGTGTTCGGTACAGTCATGCTACCCACATAGCTACCAGAGCAGTCCTAGGACAACGATGGCTCTTCGGCTTAGTAATGGAGATAAGCACCACTCCCTATATTCAGTTACGACTAGACATTCATGTCAAGGGACTACTTTTATCTTTTACCACTTGGAACTGGCTATGGAAGCAAGGGAGCGATCTAAAAAACCATCAAAGGGCAGAAAGTTTTGTCTGAAGGAGCATCTTCCTGTTTACAGAATGGGAGGCCTTCTAACTGCAGCACTCTGGGTTTCTCATAAGTCAAGACTAGATTAGTATATGGAAAGGGAAGTTCAACAGCTCCATTCTTCCTATTTCAGAAAAGCTGGATCACAGGAAGGTGGAAGATCAGATATTTAGGACAAAGTCCTTTGTTGTTGTATGCGTTCAAGTAATTTCTGATGGATGGTGACCCCATCACGGGGGTGGGTGTGGGTGGGTACATGGCAAGATCTGTTCAGGGGGAATTGCCTTTGACTTGGATGGATGCCCTGTGGGTTTTTATGAGTAAGCAGGGATTCAAACCTTTCAGAGTTGTAGTCCAATGCTCAAATCACTATACCACACTGGCTCCCTCCTTACATAGGACTTCGTCAAACTTCCTATCTTCTATCTGAAAGTCTTGATTAATGCAGCTGACCCTCTGTGTCCAGATTCTTTATCCATGTATTCAACCATTTACGGTTTAATAATAATAATAATAATAATAATAATAATAATAATATGCTCCATTGTGTAGGCCATAGATGTTCTGTAGCTGTTAGCAGTTGTTTTTTTTGGTTTTAACTATTGGAATTGGTTTTAATTACTATTGTAATTTTAATTCATCTAGATTTAATACTGTTTTAAGGGGGGAGGGAATAATTTTCAGATTTTATGTATTGTATACTGTTTTACTGTTGTAAGCCGCCCTGATTGGGTTTTCCCAAAGGGCGGGATAGAAATAAATTATTATTATTATTATTATTATTATTATTATTACCTTGATTTTGCCATATTATAAAAGGGACACAATTTTACTATGCCATTTTATTTAATGGGACTTGAGCATCCACAGATTTTGGTATCGAAGGGGGAGGGGGGGCAAGGAAGCAAACCCCAGTAGATACTAAGGGTTCACTGTACTTTCTCAAGGTGGTTCTACTGAACTGGGAAAAACATTTCACATCTCTTCCTAGTCCAACAGAAATAACCTTGGTGCTTCCCTGATGTCCTATGGTCCCAAAGTAGACAAAAAGCAGATGCTATGATTAGGAAGTTACCATATAATTAGCCAGACCATTGATCTACTGAAATTGCCAGGTTTCAGACACGGATCTCACTTGACTGTACTGAAATGCTGGAGCCCAGGATGAGATCCTGTTACATGATGTTAGACAAGATCTATTTTGGAAAGGAACAAAAATCACATTTCCAGTTCTACCTGCAGTAGGAGAAGCTTTCTCTCAAACTAAAAAATGGCTCAGTATGTAGAGAGATATTGTAGCATCTCTGGAGACTAACTGAAAGAAAGATGTTGGCAGCATGAGCTTTCGTAGATTTACGTCTACTTCCTCAGATGCATTTTGAAATGCACCTGAGGAAGTAAACTTAAGTCTATGAAAGCTCATGCTGCCAACTTTCTTCTTTCAGTTAGTCTCAAAGGTGCTTTAAGATCTCTCTACATACTGATTCTACAGACCAATATAGCTATATCTTTGGATTCTAAAAAACTGTGGTTTTCTTTACTGTGCATTTTTTTTCTCATGGAAGATGTTTATTGGCTAGAGAGTGTTCATTAGCAAGAGTCAAGCTGAGTTGATACTCATAGAAGCTCAAGTCTTGCTGCTTTTATGGGCTAATTATTTTGCTTTCCCCCCAACCTCTTTTCAGGCCTTCTCTCCTAACACTCTCCCTTCCCTGCTGCCCTAGGTAGGGACTAAAGTCAAGGAATGCCCACCATAAGCCTCTGGAGAACATTTTTTTTTTGGTTACTCTTCAACTTAGTCCTACCCTGGTATACTAGGCAGATTTCAAGGATTATGAGGGAGTAAGAAAAATACCCTCCTGTATGTATGTATACAGCATTTATAATCCAATAACCTTTGCACAGCTTTCCATTAAATAACTTCTGTTTTTTTTGGAGGGGAAGGGGAGAGACCTGTACCCTCCCAAATGTCAAAAATGGGAACCCCAGGTCAGTGAGTGGAATGTTACTTTTGGAGTTGGGGGTGATAACAGATAAATACGTAGGTTTGACCCTGGGACCATCATTGCTGCCTACCCCTCCTTTATATGATATGAAGGAAAAGAAGAGAGAAAGGCTGAAGTCAAACAAAACTAACTTTGAATAATCAGGCATTCTCCCCTCATGTTAACTAAGGTTGTACAATGAGCTATGTCTTACACTCATATGGCTTCAGCCAGCATTTATCTTTCTGGGAAAGTGCAAAAGAATTGCATAGTTCCAGGTAATACCTCAGTAGCTGATGATGATAGGTGAAAGTGATTCATAATGACCAGAAATTCTATATGACAGAATATTTGGTTAAAAGCTCAGGGGATATACGACACATGTAAATGCAACTGAACTGTATAAACCACTATAGATAATTTTAGAAAATGTAAGCTTTAAATAGCAGCTCCCTAATGTTTATGACAGTTTGCTTCTCACAGGAAGGCCACACCATGGCCCTCCCGGAAATGTCAGTTATACCACAGCAAGGCAAGGTGGAACAAGTAAATTACTGATACTGAAATAGTCCTGCATCAGATGTAGATATTAAAGTACTGTTTTCTTTTCAAGACAGACTTTTAAAATTACTAATTTATTTAAATCAAATAAATAAGTTATAGTATGGTGAATCACTAAATATGAATATCATCTAATGTCATAATTATGCAGTTTCTTTGGGTGGACGGGCTGATGGAGTTAGATCATGTCATGCACTCAACAAATTCCAGTTCCATTGGGTAATTCCTTAATTAGGCAGATTTTTGAAATATGCATTATGATGAACACAACTGACTGGAACAATTCCTTTGGAGGGTTATTTTTTCATTGTTGTTGAAAAAAGAAAGTCTTATTAAGAGATTGCATCATTAAGCTACACATACTACATAATACAAATCCTTATGGAAATTCATGACATGCACTCATAATTAATGTACAGGAAATGCAAATATTAATATTTTAACTTTAAGTTATAATTATTTAAGGTGTTTTGGGCTTGGTGCTTCATATTTTAAATTTAAATTACATTCTTGTTGTAAGAAAATACATTCAAACTGTAAAAAAAAATCTTCTCCAAAACGTTTTCTCTTTCAAAATTATACTTGGGTTGTGAACTTTGATCTGAAGATAAAAGCTGAGAATGATTCTATTAGGCTGTGACTAAGCCCTGGAA